TGGTTAGGTGGAAGAAGAAAAAATTTGGCAACACCTTATTCTGAAGCACAGATATGTATTTGCATGCAAATTAGAGGACAGTGAGTCAGCCTAGGACCTCAGCAGTGCAAGGACTCTAACTGGTCCTCAGGTTTCCTTCCCACAGATTCACAGCCTGTCAGTCTGTCTGGATGGCCTCCCATCCTTCAGGTTTCCACAGCAAGGCTCAGTGGTCCAGGATTCAGGGAAGCCAGCGAAAAGGGAAAGATAACGTGACTTTTCTAAATACTGTTGTGTTTTTAAAAGCCTTTGAGGTGCTTTTACAATCCTGCAAAACAGTTTTAGGATAGACCTGCTTTCTCCCCATTATTCATATTCATTTCTTCTTGCCACCATCCAAGACAGCTTCAGTCTGCATGAAGCTGAATGTGTCCTGGTGTGGATATTCTAACAGGGAATTTAAGGATGAGAAAAACCTTATATATTATCTACTACCAGCCCCCTAACTACCACCTGTGTCCTGAGAAATTACACACAGAGCCTGCCCCAGTTAGCCACTGTAGGCACGTGCATAAGAAATTATACCTTCCCCACCAAATGTTATATCTCAAAGAACAGCTATTTTATTTGAATCAGGTATTTATGGTGAGGATGGCATTTCAGAAAAGTATATCGATAAAATGAGAAGACTTTTTATAAGAAAACACAAGCCAAAATTCAGAAAAAACATATCTAGCTAATACTGATAATTTTGATTAAATTATGATGTAGGTAGACGTTCAGCCTCATGAAAGCCACAGCCTTAGTTCCTACAAGATTATATGACTTTGGTGGTAAAGCTAAGGTCACAGCCTTGCTGGGAGGATTAGGAGTACCTCCCAGTTTATACCATTAAATTCCAGTGTAACTTTTACGTGTATTTCTGAATTGCACCATTAAAAAAAAAATCAGTGAGTCATTTCCTGGTAAAAAGAATAAATCTTTTTAGTTCCGAGTGCCACACAATTCAAACTAGTTTAAACCAAAGAAGAACAGTATTTGTTCAAGCGATACTCTGGTATTTCCTATAAT